GCAAGAGCATGCTAGCATGCTTCTTCCTCTCCTTGTAAAGCCAGGAGCCCACTCCCATGATTACCCACTTATCCACTGAACTGATTAACCTACTCATGAGGGCATAATCCTCACTATCCAATCACCTCCCAATGGCTGCACATTTCAATACTGCCACATTGAGATCGAACTTCCACACGAGGTTTGGAGGGGACAAACATTCAGACCACAACAGTTAGCAAGTTGGTATTNTGTTAACATAAAAAGAAACACTGAAATAAATTTTCTCAATGTGTATATTCTCTACATTGAGTAGAATATTCCCTGTTTCCCTCTATATTGGGTAGATAATACTTTATGAGTTTCATTTGAAAAGTTTTGTACACAGTTTGTAAATATTTTTTGATTTAGATATTAGGGGTACCTAACTCACTTAGAGGTAGGTATCACTACGGTCTTATGTGGTTAATGTTGCACTGAACATGCAACGGAGCACACATGATCATTTGTTAGTAGGACTATCTTCCTACCCAACTACATGACCACAACAGAGCATCAAGACTGCCCATTCATCGTGATGGACACACTACTGACTGATCATTTACTCTTTCCAAATGGGAAAGGCATTTCTTCAATTTTATGTTTCCCTGTCACTTCACTGTCTAGTGAAGGGACTCAAATATCACTTTGTCCCATATCATTGTTTACCTATTATTGCTTTCTTGTTATTGCCTACATGCATGCTTCCTTTTTATATATTTGGAGAGGCAGATTAAATTTTTGGAGTATATATTTCATTTGGTTTTAGTCTAAAATTAAATCACAGCGATTAAAGACTGATTATTTTTAAAGTGAGAGAAAAATATGATGAAACAAAATGGTGAATTGTGGGAGGTTCTGTGTTAACTTTAGTAGTATCAACAAATTCCTTTTTTCTTAACCACTTGGTATACGTATGAACAGATTTTTTAGGTCATTTGATGAGTTTCCCAAAGTAGGTTAGTGTGTTAGTGCATTTTCTGTTGCTTCTAAAAGAATACCTGAAACTGGGTAATTTATAAAGAAACAGAATTTAGTTCTTACAGTTTTGGAGGCTGCAAAGTCCAGGACCCAGGAAACGCATCTGGTAAGGTCCTTCTTCCTGGTGAGGAGTCTCTGCAGTGTCCTGTGGTGATGTGGAGTATCACACAGCAAGAGCTCAGCAAGAGCATGCTAGCATGCTTCTTCCTCTCCTTGTAAAGCCAGGAGCCCACTCCCATGATNTTAAATTAAACCTAAATTAATTAAATTAACATTAAATTAAATTAAATACCTGTTAAATACAGTACCACACATATAATTTGGTTATTGTGTAGACTTTAAAATTTATGATTATAAATAATATTTAACAACATGGAAAACTATACAATGTGAGTGAAAAAAGCAGGATAATGTACTATCAATGAGGTGATTTTCATTGTGTTCAAAAGTTACATATGCATAAGAATAGACTGGAAGGAACTATAGCAAAATGGTAACAGAGACTATCTCTGGAGATAAGGTCATTACAGGTGAGTTTCATTTTCATCCTTACATATTTGTCTGTATCTTCAAATTTCCTACTATGACAAGTTTTTGTGTATAAGTAGAAAATAATAAGTGTTAACATAAAAAGAAACACTGAAATAAATTTTCTCAATGTGTATATTCTCTACATTGAG